TTTCTCATTGCCTCTCAAGGCTTTAAATCTCCCAGCACTCCACTATACTATAATTACTCTTTACTCAAGTTTACACTTTGAACACTATTCCTCTCTAGATCCTGTATCATGAGTTAAAGGAGTTCTTTTCAGGACTTCATTGTCCATCTCCATAGTTTTAACAGGGAGATATTTCAGCTTAATTAAAGCATCTTCTTAATTCTTTACCTCTTCTGAAGCTTCTTTTCTTTCCTGTCACTGGTAGTTTATAAAGTCTCTTTTCATGTTGATCTCTCTCTCTCTCTCTCTCTCTGGATAAAAAGATTAATCTGCAAGTCTCATCTGGGTAATGAGAGAGTTAACATCTTGCCCAGGCTTTTGTAGATGGTTCGGAGATCTCTGCCAAACAGGAGCTGGAGCCGTCTGTGACGGAAGGTTCCTCATGGCTGTTCTGGAGAGTGTGGTCGCTGCTCCAACTCGCTACAAGTCCAGGGCCTCTCTCTTTCTTCACTCGGCAGTTTCTAGTGAATTAGTTACAGCAAAACTGCAGCCGAGCCAGAGATCAGCTCGGCCCGGCCCGAGGAAAACCTTCCCCAGGCCCCCCCATCTCCCGGCCGGGAGCCGCTGGGCCCGGCCCCATCCCCGCCCGGCCGCATGGCCTGGGCAGGGACGGGAGGCCTGGAGCTCTGCTACCCTTCACAGCCAGGAAACAAAGAGAACTCAGAGAGCTCTGCTTTTACACTTTAAGGTAGGGTTCACAAGTTGATCCCACTTTTCAATGGCCTAAACTGCTGTCAATTCCCAGCAATGACCAATAATTGGTCAGGAGAAAAGACTCCAGGCAGTTCCCAGCAACTCCAACTCCCTTAAAGGTAAAGTAACTCCATGACATTGGGTTACAAGGATAGGCAGCTAGGGGAGGATACAACTTAGGGGCAAACCAGCTCTGGGAGAAACATTGGGGAACGTAGGAACAAACCATTAACTGTACAACCATAAATTAACAAACTATTAAAATAAACACACACTGCAACAGTTGAGTGTCCTTTCTCAAGTTGTTCTGTGACTAGAGAATTTTAGCACAGCCAAATTCTATTCTGGGAGGGGCCATTCATCCACCCATACATGGTTATTGGTTTTCCAGGTTAATTTGAGAAGGCTGTGGTTCTCAATGGCCCCAGTCAAAAATCCATCTCTAGGTGTATCCCCCATTGCATTAGACTGTTTCTACCCCACAGAACTGTGGGTATGTTTGTTTTAGTCCTGACCAAAAATGGTCTTGTGGTGATGGAATTGTCAGGTCCTTTAATTTTGATTAAATCCACGCTCTGGAAACTGTTGCTGTCTCCCCTGATTCCAGATAGCATCCTTGTGGCTGTTTTAAGAGCCCAGTTAGGAGGCCACCTGGATTGCAATATAACATCTGCAACACTGCATAACAGTGACATCTGCCGCAGTGTCTACGAGACTTGTTAAAATAACCTTTTCATGGTTAATTCCAGGTGATCTTTGGTCTATTGTGGCTGATTATTTGTGTCCACATTACTTCAGAGGTGTCAGTGTCATGTTCCAGGGGCAGTATGGCCTGTGCAATGATTAATCCCTGGGGTGTAAAACTGGGTGGATCAGGAGACATCGCCAATACTGTAATCTCTTGTTGGAAGATTACTGAGAGCTCTGATGGTAAAATAAAGAATCCTTCTGTCTGGGCTTGACAGTTTCCCATAATTAACAACTCATGGGGCCAGACTTTAGGGCCGAACTGTCCAGTTGGTAAGATGTGAGTAAAATAGTCAGTTAATGTAACAGATTGTGCATTTACCAATTCCAGTTTGGCCCCTGGTAGTAAGGAGGTTGGTAACTGGAAGATGAGGCACTGGAGGTCTGTGCCATGTGGTTGCTGGTGATTGCCTGGGCTGCAGTGGTTGGCATTGTCGGCTTGAGCACTTGTGTCATTGAGCAAGGCTGCTTTCATCAGTAGTTTTTTGGCTGTGATCTGGGATAGTTGCCTTTGAGATAATTTTGTCCAACCTGATGTTGACCTCTACTGGGAACCAGATACACTCCTCCCCCCACTCAGTGGACAATCCTTTCTAAAATGTCCTTGTTTGCTGCATTGAAAACATGTGCTTGGACCTTGTGGATGTTGCCGAGGCTCTTCAAAAGGGAATTGCATGGCTTCTAGGGTTTCTGCACCCCCATGCCCGAGGGTCTGGGATTGTACTATGGCTACATGCTCAGCAGTCCCAATGTGGTTGCAGGCTTTGGTCATTTCCAGGAGGGTGGGCTTTGGTTCCCATGGCATATTGCACGATACCCTCCTGCATTCTGGATTGGCATTGGCTATCCTCAATGATCTTAACAGTTAATTTTTGGGTTGGTTATCCTGGACTTGCTTTTCTAAAGCCTGTTTAAGGCAGCCAATAAATTTCATGCAGGGCTCTCCAGGCACTTGTCTAATATTTACATAGTCCAGGTGGGGAAGTGTTGCGATCAGGCACTTGGACCAATGCCTTTTGTGCCACATCCTTAATATCTTCCAGCACTTGCCAGGGTATGTTTGCCACCAGATCATCTGGATGGCTGTACAGTCCCTCACCGGCAAGGTGGTTGGTAGTTAATTCTGCCCTTGCCTCATTGTCAGCGTATTCGGTAATTAGATGGTTTACCAGGTGCTTCCATTCCCCCTCTCACAGGGTATATTCAGTGCATGATAGCAGCACTGTCATAAGATGTTTTAAATCATGGGGGGTTAAAACATGTGCAGTAAATGTGGCCCTCACCAAGTTGTTAAAGTAGAGTGAATCCCTCCCATCATCTCTTGTGGCATTGTAAAGTTCTTTAATCTCCCTGTAAATCATGGGCTCATACCTGGGATTTGTCCCCCTTCTCTCATAAAGCACTAGGGCAATGATAAATTTAGAAACTAACTGCCAATCTCCACTCTGGACTGCATCTCTCCTCATCTTGTCCCAGGGGTCTTCTGGAGCCAAGGATGCAACCGGGGAGTGTAAACCCTTTTCAAGGGAGGAAAGGTAACTTGAGGGAAGAGAGTTTGCGTTAGCGATAGGGTAACAGCTGGGCTTGATGTCTTGGACTGTGGGGGCCTGGTTGTTACCAGAGGGTGAGGCCAAGGGCACAACCATTTTGCTGTCAGCTGGAGTGGAAGGGCCTTGATCTAAAATGACGGACATCTGGGGTGCAGTTTCAGAGGTGTGGCCCAGGGCAGAGGTGGAGGTGGACTGGTGAGTATTAGGGGTGTGATCCACAGTTGAGGGGATGGAGTTCAAGGGTTGACAGAGACAGTTGTGGTGGCAGGAACTTGAGAAGCCAAGACGGCAGAAGGATGGCCAGGCTCCTAAGCCACATCAGGGCTCCTTCCATCGTGGGTATCCGGGGCACCGTGCTCAGAGATGGTGTGGCCAGCGCCATCTTGGACCATTGTGGAAGGTTCAGGGAGGTTAGAGTTCAGAAGGTTTCAGGTTAGGGGGGACCAATGGATCTTTTTTTTGACGTGGTGCTTACTCGGGAAGGGTCTTGAGGATAACATGGGACAGGGGGAGCAGGTGGGGAGCAATGGGGTCCCTCTTGATCAGGTGTTGGTATAATTTAACTACCACAGAGTCCCAGAATTCAATGTTACAAAATTCATTATCAGAGGCATTGGGAAAATTTTTGGAAATCCACCTCACCAATGATTTAATTTTTTGAAAATTCCTTGTCATGATCATGGAGCATTAATTTAAAACATCCATATACACTCCTTTCTACTCAGGACCTATGACTGCGCATTTCCTTCTCTCAATGCCTTAGGGGGAATAGCCACTGGAACGCTTCAAATCAATGATGGGACTTGGGCCTGTATTTTAAGAACACAGTGGCAAAAATGGGCTATTAATGTCCTGCACGTCCCCAGCGCACCTGCTTTCTGCTGCAGGTGCACCTGTTGCTGTCTTTGCTGCTCTGGCTGAGGTCCCTCTCCATCGACAACACAATCTGCCAGGCCTGGCACCACAATTCTAGGAAGTGACTGGCCTACCCATTGGCTCACCCAGCTGATGTGACAAGCACAGGAAGCCCTGAATATTAGGCTCCCTCTTTGGGTGCCACATGTCGCAATGAGAGCAGCTGCGACAATCCTTTAAAACCTTAGGGTTCTCTGACTTCAGGGAACCAAGGCCCAAATAAAATGAGTGGGTACAATGGAGTGCATGAAAAAGAAACACTTAAATGAGAAATAAAATAGGGATGATGCCCATAAACTGTGCACAGTATAGGGACAAACTCCAAAGACCAGGACCTGGGGCAGACACAACAATATATAGGGTAGGTCTGAGGGCGGGGTCTGAGGGCATGGGTCCAGTCACAAACTAGGGTTAGAAATATGCAAAACACTGCAACAAATAATGACCAATCAGGGGAGGTAACTGGGAACGTTTTAGAAACGTAACCTTATACAGGGTGACTTAATTAATGTATTAACTACCGTAAGGCCTTAAAGAAGTGCTTCCCAAGGCGTGAACTTAAAGGCTGGTGATTCAGGGGTGAAGTCTTTCTGGTCCTGTGTCCCAGCAGGGTTGACTCCCACACTGGTTGCACTGGTTGCCTCTTCCCCAGCACATCTCTGTGCACCTCAGCTGCTCCTCTGGATAATGTACATGCTCATCTTCCTTACCTGTGCTGATACACAACAACTAATCATGGAGTTCTATGACTGCATAGACTTCTCATTCCCACTGTTTGTTTTCCAGATTGCACCCTTAAAACTTGTAATTCTGAAAAGTATCCTAGCTTTAGGTTAACCTAGCTGATGCACTTTAGGAAAAATTACGTACTCTGCATTATCCTAATTTTTTGAAATAACAGTGAGTTTTCTTAATTCAACTAGTAACATACAATAACCTTGTTCATTAATGATTATTGATGACAACGGTAATTTGTTATGACAGTGTGATTGCAGTGTATGAGCACACATGTGCACACGCATGTAGGGGACTTAAGATACATAGGAAAACTCTAAATACCATTCTTTAAAAATCATTTATTCCTCATAAAGAAAGTAGAAAGAGGATCTTCCATAACCCTCCCATATTTGCAGTAGCCAACACATAATCAGACTGCTGTATTCAATCCCCTACATATAGACCACTATAAAATTCATGTGATTAGGAGGAAAATCACATACAGCCAGTCACAAAGTATGGAATTTTACTCCAAACACTCATAAATCCATTGTGTCTGCTCCATTTTAAAGGGCAAAACATACATACGCTGTCAAAAAAGGAAAGAAGAAAGAAAAAGGATAAACCACAAAATTTTCATTCTGTATATTCCTTTGGTTTTTCCCTTAAAATTCCCATGTGTTCCTGATTAGGACACATAAAATCTAGAAAAATGAATTAATTGCACACAAGGATGAAAAGAAAGAGAAATACTTTCTAGTTCATTAAAAGAATCCCCAACATCTTTTCAAGTGGAATGTTTCTGACAAGCTGTGTTGATCAAGTATCCCAGACTGAGGGCAGTTACAGCTGTAAGTGTGCCATGCAATCATTATCTAGGTACTGAGAAAAAATTGTGAGACACTTGAATTTCCATGAAGATAGGAGAAAAGAAAAAAAAAGCCCAGAATAAAGCAAATAAATGCCCAGGCAATAAATCCAAATAAAGTTTCAGAACATTAACCCAATAATAAAAACATGAAAAGGTGGAAGACTACGACTATCCCCAAAGACGTCAATATGGAAAAGACAGTTCCAGCCTTGAAATGTTGCTTTGCATTTCATAAAACTATTTGCAACTGTGTAGAAAATTTCAACACATATGCAAATGGCCACAACTATTTGGAAAACTTGATAGTCTATACATGTAATAACGTCTTGAATGATCCTATTAAACATTTGTTCATGGTATCAGAGGCGTATCCAATTCAAGCTAATGATTTCAGTGCAACAGAAAGCAAAAGATGCTGCAGTCTGTTGTGGCTGGTTAATAAGTCAGATCACAACAAAGAAACAATTTATATGCAGCAGTATTTGCATTTAAGAAATTCAGTCTGGCCTGAAAATCCCCCCACTATTTTTTGTATAGGCATTTTTTTCTAGAAAAATACAGGAGAATTCACTTTTCTGAAATAAAGATTTACTGTGTGTCAATCTCCTACCGCACAACCTACAGTATGTTTTCTTTGGTCAGGAAGTGTCCCTGTAAAGATCTCCACTCAATATATTTACTAAATGTGTGATAGGGCTCTGCTGATTAACTAATGTAGTGTTACATATATTTTTACAGAAGATATTAGACCATCAGATATCTTGTAAAAGATTGAACTCTAAAGGCCTCTGGTTGAAAGAAGAGAAAAACAACATAACATTCAGATTGTCCCTCCAAATCACTTCTTCATTGCAGCTGGAATCCAGGCAATCCTACTTGTACTTCTAATTAAGGACTGTAGTTATAAAAATGTTAAGGATTTAAGTATGTGCAGTGAAATATATGTAGTTTTGCCCTTCAATTTTCTCTTCTCACAGTACTCTGGCAAGAGGAACAAGATTCTTACGTCAACTGAAATGGAAAAGGGTTTATACAGTGCAATAATGCCTAATTCTATTCCTAAGCACTTTTACAATTTGCTTCTTCCAAGAGCCACTCAATTCCATTTAGCAATCCATCTAAAGTTGCAGCTACAGTGTCCTGCATCTGTGAAAATTAAAAAAAAAAATAAATTAAAAAGTTAATGTGTTAGAGATAACAGCTAACAGGATCCAACAGTATTTTAATATCACTCTGTGTCTATCTGTTAAAGAAACACTCATATCAAAGCTAAATTTTTATCACTAAGGAAAGTGCCTTTACACAAAAAAAGTTTTATAAAAGTAAGAAAACAAACGAAAAAACCCCCTCACGTTAGGAAAGCTTTCACTCTTGGTATCACAGTGAATTTTTTTTTCAATTGTTCCATCAGCTGTTTTGGAACACTACACTTACTTTACAGATGGCAATCCACTTGAAAATTCTTCTTGTAACTCTTAAAGCAAAAATGCTGCTAGCTTTAGACTTCCATGCTCATTATTAACACTCAGATTTTGTAAAATCCCATTCAGTGGCTATTATAAATGGTGTGATTTGTAAAAAACCTATGAACATTTTCCTTATGAAAACAAAGGAATTATCACAAATCAGGATTTTTTTCTGATTTATTCCTCAGCTACACAACATCAACAAAAATTAATTCTGTGTGGCTGAATCATGCTGATAGATACTGTGCTTGACAAGCATAAAATAACAGGTTCAGGACCCCACATACTAGGCAAAAAACTGTCAAAAACTGAAGACATCATGCCAAGTGAGTGACAGTAAACAGTGTTTTTAAAATGTCCCAGAAAACTATCTTGTGTTCAAGGTTGTGACTCAGGAAATTTAGATTTAAATGAACTTAAGCTTCCTTATTCCCTTCAAGACCATCATTAGTCCTTCCTTACATTCTAGTTCCATCTGAAGTCTTTTGTGCACTTTTGGGCAAGTCACTTAGCTCCTTGTGTTCAGACAGGCCAATGATTCATCTCAGTGGATCAGAGGAACAAAATCCTTCACTTAAATGGAAAGCTCACATACTAGTGTTGAAAGCTGCACACTTCCTTTGGTAGGCATAGTTAAGGAACCTGAGAGCCTAAATTAAATTTAAAGCACAGAGAAACAGAAAGTAAAGGTTTAAGAGCAAGTACCATCCAGGGCTGATGCAGCAGATTTAGTTGCAACTGATGTGCCACATAAACACATGGAATTCTTTTCACACCAACATGAGACACGCAGGACAAAACCAACAGAGGTCTGTTCGGAGGCCCAAGAGCTGGATCAATCATTGCCAAAATACGAGCCAGCTCCTCCTGACGATCATGCTCTACGAAACAATTTTTAATATATGAATCCTAAGGATATGCAAATACAATGTGTTTTTGGTTTTGGGTTGGTTTTTTTTGTTGTTGTTCTTGTTTCAGAGGTGATGAGACAGAGGGCTGGAAGGGCCAAATTATCTTGTCCTGTTTATCACAAGACTTACTCATCTCCCTTTATGTTACACAGATACTGATGACATTTAGGTGTTATTTAAATATCTCCATAGATTCTACGGGCAGCCTATTTCAGTCCTAATGTCAGAGTGTTTTCTTAGTACCTCACAGAGACCAAGATTGCAAGCCATTCAGAAATACTTATACATTGTACAGTCAGCAGCTCTTCCCTACTAAATACACTTTTCTCTTAGTGTATCCCTTCAAAGATTTTTGCTGTCTCTTTTCTGAGCTAGCCCTTTTCCTACATTCAAAGCTGATGAATGTAAAGACAATTACCATAATTGTTATTTGGATTATTATCTTAAATAACTAAACTGATTTAGACTGACTGCATTTGTTACTGTTTTCATGGGGAAGGTGGTTTCCAGGCTATTACAGCACAAAGTATTTTCAGTTTTCTCCTATACATACCCAAGATTTTTGTTTGGTTTTTTTTGTTTGTGTTTTAATCCAGGTAATTTCCCACATGTGACTTAGATAAATGTGCTATAAACAAAACAAGGGGCTGTAACCCCTAACAGGTTGATGAGAGAGTGTCTAGGATAGGAGACCTCTTCATCACGATAAGCCATGAAGAAATAGCAGATTTGGAAGAGTCAGAACATGAATTCTGATGTATTGCATATTCTTTGAAATCTAACACTCCAGTTATTCACAAAATTTAAATGAAGAGAAACCCTTACCTCTGTGAGCTTCTGCATTAGCAACATAAATGAATCCATCAACTACTTCGCACACCTTCCTCACTTGAGCTATTACACTGTAGTGCATGGCTTGCTGATTCCCTGCTGTGTTGTTCTCTTGGTAAAACATCTTATTCACAGCAACAGCTTGCTCCTCCCTTGCTCTCCTCCTTTCCACACTGGAAGATATTTCGTTACTCAGATTAACTGAGAAAACCAAAACTGAATCTTGAAAGTCTAGGTGGTGCAGGGAAAGGACAGGAAAATGGGCTGAGCCAGAAAAACAGTTTGATTTCTCCCTGCCTGTTCCTGCCCTCCTTTCTTTCTGCGTGCACATACAAAGACGGTGAGCAAGATGCTTATGAAAATACAGCCCATAATGAATTTATAGAGTGCTTTAAAAGGGGATTCAACCAAGGTATCGAGATGGATAGAAGCACCTGTAATGTACCTGTTGTACATCTTTTGGTACAGATACTGTTTGGAAGCACTTTATTTTTCCCATGTGAAAATTTAGTGGTTGAAAAAAGAAAGGGAAGGCAAAAGCATGCATTGAAACTTCAATTTATAATGATATCCATGCATGAGAAAGTGCACATGAAAGTCACATGACAAGAATATGAAGAAAAGTCTAAAATAGATGAGAAACTGTACTTTTTGTTTGGTGGAGAATGGCTCTTATCTTACCTTGTGGTGGAATACAGTGTCACAATATTGAATTTTTGATTGTTGCTAAACTGAAAACTGACTCCTGATCCAATTCCTACAGAGACAAAAATGAACCTATGAGATTACATATGAATACAATTAAATGGTAGTTCAAAATATTCCAGTGGTGCCAAAAAATGAATATATTCAAACCTAGATACTGCTGTTAGGGATAGCAGATTTACTATTTTACAATTAAACTTTATACATGCTCCAATTGATCAGACTTTTAATTTCACGAAAATCCAGTCAATGGTATTAAAACCATTTCCATATTTCTGATTATTAGACTTGAACCTAGAAATCTGAATCAGAAATGAGCCAGACTTATTTTTATTAGCTGAAACTGGCATAGAAAAGGCTCCAGTCTGGTTATGACAAGCTGCATTCAAAAGGACATATGAGAGAAATAAAAAACCTACTAAAACAATTGCCACACTTCCTATAAATACAATTTAATTATTCAAATTCTGCTGTGCTGAAATAACTGTTAGTTAAAAGACAACACATTGACTGAAGTAAAATTAGACTTTTAAAGCTACTCTTTTAAACATCAAAAAAAAAATCCCTCACCTGCTCCTGTAACTCTTCTAAATAAAATTTACATCATTTGATATCAGAATACCAAATCATATAAGGATCAGCCTTGAGTTCCTGTGTAAAATCACAAGTTTTTAGCCATTTACTTCAAGCAGTACTAAAAGAAAGGCCTGTCTGCATTTATCACTTACAACAGCAGCAGTAACATGGAGCTTTGGATGAAGATGGAGCAAAATGAGTCTTCTGACAATGTCAGAAATTAATCGTAAATTCACTGGAGCTATTAGTTTGTCCCAAGTGTTCCCTGCATTTATTCTTCTGAACAAATCAGAGAGATAATGGTTTGTTTTTACCATGATTCTACTGGTAAAATAGATAATAGAAAAGGATACAAAAAAAATAATTTTCTTCATTTCTTCCTCTAAGTTTTTTGTGTTATATCTATTTACAAAATAAGAAGGCCAAAAGCCAAAACCATCATTACCATGAATTTGTCTATGAGGTAGGCCAGCTACCAGCAGAATTTCTGGGCATGTCATCATCTTTTGTACTAAAGAGTTGTCCAGCTCTTCCAAACCTGGCCCAAACATAGCAAAGCGAGGTTCTGCCTGAGTGACCAGTGATTGCAAAAAGGAAGTCACAGCCCCATACCGGGGGCGGCTCGATTTCAAACTTCTTCTACCCTGAGGACAGCTCCTTTTATATCTGTGTAAAATAGATGCAACTAGAAATTAAACACAAAATACAAAAGAGGTATTAATCAAATAAATTAATTTAGGTCCCACACTTGTTATGCTTTGCTATGGATACAACTCGAAGCATAAATCAAAAATTATTAAACTGATTGTTTCAAGCACCAGTATAAAGCAGGCAAAGGCACTGGTTCTTTTGAAGTCCAAATACTGACTGTTTGGACCTCAGTGCACTTCCACCTACAGATCTTTCAGTTTATTTAAAAATAAAATTAAAATCGCTAACTCCCCATTCTCACTGAATACACAATATAGGTAAAATAACATTAAATGCAGAAGAGTCACATTAAAAAAAAAAGATTAAAAAATGAGCCTTGTTGAGAACATTTAAAACCTTAATTAGACTGCTTTTGTGTTTATAACAAGTAATCACCTGAAAAGAACCATTTTCCCTGTAGGTACAGAGCATGCAAACTGTAAGGAGACAAATGTTGTCTGCAAACTTATGTGCTTGTTTGGTGCAGATGCTAGAAGGCATGGAAAGACTGGTAATTGAGGAGGAGAGTAACAGTCAGACATCCTAGAACAGCAGCTTCAGTCTGCTCCTGGAGTCATGGTAGGCTGCTGCTGGACAAACCTGTTCAAGGAAATATCAAATGTGGGCTCCTTTGTACCCACACTGAAATGTTTCAGTTGAGATCAGCAAAACTGCTAAGAGCACACAGACACAATGGAAATCAGTGAAAGGTGGCTTCAAATAGGTGATTCAGAACCAAACAGATTTAAATCCTATTTCAAAATCAGTATATATTTTGCACATCAGATTCTGGGTGTACTGTTCCCATCTGTTAAGAGAAGATGAAGGGCATAGAGATAGCAGAAGTTACTGCACTTATTACAAAGCAACATGTTAAGGACTACCTTTGGAATATGTAACTGCAAATAAATCAAAAATCCCAAACAAATCCATAGATCACTACCGCAAATTACAGGAACTGAATGAAGTTTAGAAAAGAAGTCATCACGAAATAATCTACTTATTTCAAGAATTCTTCTCAGTCATCCAAATCCAGTATTTATTGTGTTGCTACGCTTTTCAACTATACTAGCTGAAACCAGTGTTTGTCTTAACGCCTTTGACAATCAGAGCTAAAATAATACAACTTGTTGTTCTGTGCACATTCTGTGCACTTTTTTATTATTAGGTCTTCCAAGTAAAGTGAAAAAAATGAAGACTCATTTCACTTGCTGTAGTTTGAAGACTTCTCAGTACTTTCATGAAAATACGTGCCATGACACTAAGACCAAAGAACACTTCTTTATCAAGATCAACAGTGTGCAGTATTTCTGTGCCACATAAGACACACAGTTTACAAAAAGCTTTATTTTTTTATAACATTAGCATTGTCTTTTTTACAATCTTTTACATTCTTGCTGAGTTCCTAACAGAAATAGCTGAGCAGACCATGGAGCGACAGGAAATTGTATTTCCAAAATAAACAATGGATTTGACACACATAAAAATTTAAACAGCAGCTTACAGCAGAGCTTTATTTCTGTAAATATTAAACATGCCTGTGGGCTATGTATTACTGCTGTAGGCAGACTTGAAGTCATGTAAGAGAATACAGAGATACTTACACTGCCATGTAATCATACAGTGCATTGTCGCTGACCTCTGAAAAGGCTTTATTAAAAATCTCCTCATCTGGAAGTGATTTCCAATCAACAGATGTCCAAGAGGGGAGATCCCGCAGGAGAAAATACCTCCACAACAACGGGTCTTGCACAGCTGCCCTCCAGTAACAACTCGTGCTTCCTAAGCGGCACAAATCTTGGGGCGAGAGGAAGGACATGATGTTCAGCTGCACGTCGATCTGAAAACCATTGAAAGCAGCGGTTTAACGGCTCACCAATTCAGCAGTGAAGAAGGACGGGGTGGGATGCAGCGCTTTGCCACCCCCCCCC